CCCTGAACCACGTGTGGCCCCTGAACCACGTGTGGCCCCTGAACCACCGGCTGCAGACCCTGTGACACTTTTATTGATCTCAAATAAAAATTTGTAACTAAATGCTAACATATCACGTGTGTGTGTGTGTGTGTGTGTTATATTTGAACTGTCTGATGACGATACATGCATTAAGCTTTCATGCGTAGTTTAGAAACATGTTAACACAGAACCGGATCAGAGAGGTTCTGGTCCATAAAGACAGTGGAAACGGGTCTAAAGAGTCTCGGAGGTGCCAAACTAATCCTGGGCTGACTGAACGTGGAGCCACTGGATCTGGACTAAGCCTGGATTATCACTGAGCCAAATCGAGGAAATCATTGAAAAGCAGCTGAACGAGACGGGTCAGAACCGGGCCTTCTGCGGCTCCGAGACGTCTGAGGACGGCCTCAGATTAGTTTCAGCTCGGCTCAGTTCTGAGCTCCACCATGTAGAAAACGTTTCTGCTGTTTCAGAGCTGCAGGACTCACACTCTCTACTCCGTCCCAACGAGCAGTTTAACGTCCAAATGGACACGAGGGGGGACATCTCCTGTCCTCCACGGGGGGGGGGGGGGGCCTGACCTCCACGGGGGGGCCTGCAGCTCAGAGCTCTTCACTTTCACTTCCCATGAAGAAGGAGGGAGAACTGGTTTCTGCGCTCCAGTCAGAACTTTGTTCTTTCTTTCTTTAAAGCTCTGTCCTTCGTAGCGCCCGCCGCCGTCAAACCACAGTTTTACGTTCAAATCTTCTCAAACCGAGAAACGATCGTGAAAATAAAGTTTTGCTCGCTCTCGTGTTGTTCTGTAAAGCTGCTGTAGCGTGTTAGGAGTAACTCTCAGCTACTGCCACGGTCCAAGTGAGCCTGAGAACCGGACGAGTCCAAGTCCTGCTTGTGAGCTGGCGGCCATCTTGACTCAGATGCTGATCATTACTTTCCAAGAGTTTCACTAAAACACATTCAGGAGTTCACTAGATATTTTGCTAACAGTGCAGAGCAACAAACACTCCGCATTTGATTAATACGTAGCCTGTGATACCAAATAAACACATAAATAAATAAATAAATAAATAAATAAATAAATAAATAAATAAATAAATGCATTTAAACAAATGAACCGAATAAATAAATAGAAGTAGGTAAATAAAAAAAATTAAAGCATGCATAAATAAATACATAAATCTAATGAATAATTAAAAAACTAATTATAGGTCAGTAGGTAAATAAATAAATAAACAATGCATGTTAACAACTAACTAACAAAACAGAAGTTGGTAAATAAAAAAATTAAAACAAAAATAAATAAACACATAAATCTAGGTAAATGAGTAATTAAATAACAAATTATAGATAGGTCAGTAGGTAAATAAATAAATGCAGGTAAACAACTAATAGACTTAGGCAGATAAATAAATAAACAAACAAAGTGTTGATTAAAGTGTGATTCTGTGTTGTGTCAGGTTTTAGACCCGTCCTAATAATTGACTCCTTTTTTAAATTTAAATCAAGTTCTATCAGATTTTGCAGGTTGTTTTCTTGTTTTTGTTTTCTCTTGGTTTGTTTATTGTATTTGTTGTTTTTAAGTTTTAAAATGTGTTTAGTTGTTTGTTGCTGCTTGTTGTTTGTAAATGCGCTGTAAATAAACTGGACATCGTTTCTTTGTTCTCTGTTTGAAAGAGAACTTGTTTATTTGTTGATGTTGCTCTGAGAGAAGAATCTTGTTTATTGTTTGTTCTTCTTTCATCTTTAATGTTTACTTGGTCTCCAGAAGAGTCGTGAGGAGTTCAGAAAGTGTTTTTATCCTGTCAGCATTTATTTTGTTTTCTTGTCTGAGCTGATCCCGGATCTGTTCGTTTTCATTCTGTTTATTTTATCTAAATTATTATTCACGTTTTCTTTCATTTGACATTTGAATCTATTAATTGAATATTAATGTATCGATGAAATCAAATGTGTTAATGGAGTGGGTGTAATTTCTGCATCTGGTGCGTGGTTGTGCCGCACTTGGACCGGCCTGGTCCAGACCCGCAGGCACGGCGGCTCCGGTTCTGGGGGTTCTTACCGCGTCTCTCTTCCTGCGCTCCTCCCGGACCTCGGTCCGCTTCAGCTCGGCCCTGAAGGCCTGGGTGTCCCCGTGCTGGCCGTCCCTGTCCAGGATGTCCATCAGGTAGGAGATGTAGCTGGTGGCGAGCCTCAGGGTCTTGATCTTGGACAGCTTGGTGTCTGCCGGGACGTTCGGGATGCACTCCCGGAGTTCTGCGAAGGCCGAGTTGATGCTTTGGGTCCGCCGCCGCTCCTTCCGGTTCGCCGTGGGTCTCCGCTTCAAGGTCCGAGGGTGCGCGTGCTGCTGGTGCACGCTCACGGTGGTTCCGTTCACAGAGAGGGTCCCGGGGCCCGGAATCAGACCTCCGGCGCCGAAGTGGTGATGGTGGATCTGGTCCAGACCCCCGGAGGACCCGCCGCCGCTGAGGGGGTGGTACTCTGGGCTGAACCCGGGCGCGTGCTCGTACTCTGAGGGAGACACGTCCGCGTGACCGATGAGCCAGCTCGTGAAGTATGGAGGAGCCCCGGGGTCCTCGTGGCACCGAGCGGTACCGGCAGCAGGGTGGAAGGAGTACCGGTGGGAGTCATGGGGGTGCATGATGGGGGGGTGAGGGAAACGCGAGACCAGACTCATCCTAACACACGCACACGCGCGCGTACACACAAATCCTTGTGGGTGCAACAGCGAGTCTCTAACGGTGTCTCGGAGCAGATCTGTGCATCCTGAAGGTTCGGCTGGGTTCGGACGGGCTGCTGGTTTCTGCAGCTCTCACCGGTCTACAGCAGGTTCTGGGGCCCCCGAGGGCCCCCAGCAGCTTCCCGCCTCAGACATGCTTCTTCTGTTCCGGTCGTTCGGGTCGGAACCAGCCTCAGCTGTGGTTCTGGTTGTCCCAGGTCTCCATCAGGCAGCGGTCCCGGGTCAGCCTGTTACTGGGTCACAGTTCCCGAACCAGACTGAGACTGGAGAACTGCAGAGTCCGCCTGCTGACGAGAGGGGGGGCTTCAGGCGGACCCTCCTGGTTCAGCCCACTTGTCTTTAACGTCCACAGGCCTTCGAAACGCACACGCACGCACACGCGCGACTCATCCGCACAATCAAAGCTGCAGATGCTCCTCTTCGGATCCTGGTCCATTAAGGCCGGATAATAAACCGGAAGTCCAAACATGGATCAGGGGTCAATCTGGACCCAGAACCCGGACCTAGAGCCTGGATCTGGACCCAGAGCCTGGATCTGGATCTGGACCCAGAGCCTGGATCTGGATCTGGACCCCACAGATCTCATCGTTTTTGAGATTTCACTTAAAGTTGTTGAGTCCGGCAGCAGAACTGAGACGGGTCTTCATCCGGACCCGGGTCCGGTTCCAGGGTCCAGCTCAGCTCATCGAGCCGGACTCAGTTCGGGTTCAGAATTCTTCGTGAAAAAGTCCTCGTGCCTCTGATGATGATGATGATGATGATGATGATGATGATGATGATGAACGCATCTAGTTTTGCATGTTTAGATTTAAGTCATAAAGATTTTGATGTTCATGTATTTATTGAAATGTTTTAGTTTAAATCATGTTTTTATTTTTATCTTTTAGTTTTTTATTTTACGTAGTTTTATTTTTCACCTTTTTATTATTTGTTATTCTTAATTAGTTTGTTTTGTAATTTTAATTATAGTTATTTTTAATTTTTAGTTTTGTTGGTTTTTATTAATTTATTGTATTATTTTATATAAATTCGTGTAGTTAGTAATTGTTTATTAATTTATTGAGTTTTATTCCATATTTTTGCACATTTTAAAAATAATTATTTCGTTTATTTATGGATTAGTTTAGTTCGTTTGAACCGAGTTGTGTGAGACTCCCTCAGTCCTCTTCTCCTTTTCATCGCTGCATTAAGTAAAAAAATAAAAATCTAAAAATTAAAAATCACTGCGTGCTGCTGTATTTACCAAAGTATTTCTAAATATTAAACGTTTTGGTTGAAAAATGAGACTTTTCATTTGAAGCGAACGTCATTCTTTATTAAAGTTATCAATCTTTGTTGTCCGTTTAGTCGTGCATCTTAAAGGTCAGTGTTTGTTTTTGTTTGTTTAATTTAATCCATGATAAATATTAATAATCTGCTAGCCTAAAACAATTGATGGTCCCAATAAATAAAATAATACACAGCGGTGGAAAGTAGAAAATTTCATTTTCCTGCATGACTTTAACATTGTTATTTATTTTGTGCATTTTGTACTTTTAAATTAATTAATATAATTTACATTTTTATTTAAGTATATTTACATAAGGCATTTTACTTAGTTATATTTAAAATCCCATCCTTTCCTGAGTAAAATATGTGAAGCGTGAATTAAAATAGAGGATAAAACGGGCACCTGCAGAGACTGGTCTGTTCCTTTATAATCCGCCGGTGACTGATCCGGTAGAAGCGAAGGCAAGCCGTGTAGGAGGAGCTTCCCACTTAAATAAACCCACAGATTATGAACAAGCTCCGCCCACTCTGCGGGCCACTTCTGCTGGAGTGGAGTAAAACTCAGCAGACGTGCAGTTGTCACGTTGAACATGTTCTGCTTCTTTCAAAGATGACTGCTATAACTTTAGATAACTGTAACTTTTATACTTTTCAAAATATTTATTTTGAAATTTACAATTATTTCCTCTAAGATACACACTGAGATTTGTTCAGTTCCTTCAAAAACATTTTCTCTTTGCTTCATCAAAATGGCTCCGTTTATACCTTTTTAAGCTACTTTTACATTTTAGCTTGCCATTTAACTTTTAGCGAATGTTCTGCTATTTTTAGCTAGCATTTAGCTTTTAACTATGGTTTTTAAATGTTAGCTAGCATTTTACTACTTTTAGCTTTTTGCAGTTGTTCTACTAATTTTAGCTAGTGTTTTGCTACCTTTAGCTTTTAGCGATTGTTC